ACTTAGGTTCAGTCTGGAGAGATTTCTGTCTTGAGGTGGAAGCTAATAAACGCAACAGAACTGTATTTGCATTGTCTCATGGAATTCTTTGGGCTGAACCTGACAGGGCCTTCCATAAACCTAGTTTTCTGCTAAGTATTGGGCCAGTTGGATGAGTCCACCCAGTCATGGTTTTAGATTGGAATATATTGGTGACTCACCCTCATTTTTTTCCTTTTGTAGGCCTTCACCAGTGCTTTCTCCAAAAACCGAACGGAGAGGGGTGGCTGCTATCAAGACTGACTTGAAGGCGCACACACACACACACACACACACACACACACACACACACACAAAGTGGATTCATGCTGCACAGCAGCAGCATTTTTTTTTATAGTGGGGAGCACATTTACTATTACATCATTCATTTCCCATCCTCTTGACTTTCTGGTGATTTTGGGCCAATCCATTCATAAACTTTCTGGGACTTTTTGTGCTTGTTCTCATCCTTCAACTCACAGGGTTTTTTTCCTCTATGATCAAGCAAAAGAAAGCACTCTTTTCAGGACTGAACATTTATTGCTTTGATGGAGGGGAAGGGAGGGACCGAACAGAGCTGCCGATCAAAGAGTCCTTGTTGCGTTGGGAAGCAACCAGAGGTGAATTCCATGAAAGAGGTATGAGAAACATTAGAGCAATCCGGAACAAGGGCGAAGATGGGGTCCAGAGTGTTTTCCCGGCTCCAGAATGACAACCTTCCGTGGGCCAGATGGCTGTCAGAGGACGGGGGCGGCCAGGGAATGGAGGGGACGGGAGGAGCTCGGCTGCTGCGCCTTTTCTTCCGCTCTGACCCCGCTGGTTCATCCTGCGCTATCTGGGACGATTTCCGCACCGCGCTTCCACTTTTCTCGCCGCCTCCCCACGAGCCAGCCAGCACAATACACAACAACAACAACAGCAACAACTGCGCGCCGCCTCGGCGGGGGCTGTCCTGGCGCGGAACCGCCCCCTCAATCCCCCCCGTCTCCGGCGGGTGGAGGCATCGTGGGGAGGCAGGTACACAGGAGGAGCCAACGCGCTTGGAGGAGGACGCCGCGGCTCGCCTTCTTTGGGTCCGAGGGCTGGTGGGTGTGGGAATCGGTCGGAAGAGCCCCCTGCTCCGGCCGGTCCGCTGCCCCCACCGCCCCCCGGCAAAAGCCCTGCCTCCTCTTCCTCCTCCTCTCTCCCCCGAGATAAAATCCCGGTCCTGGCGCCGCGGCCGGTCTCTCTCAAGCCGGTCCCGCGGGGTGTTTGTCAGGGCATGGCAGCGCTGGGAGCCGTAGTGAAGAAAGTGTGGTGTATCCGCCGCTACTTGGTGCTTCTGTGCACTCCGCTGGTGCTGCTGCCCGTCCTCTTCAGCCTGCCCCCCAAGGTAACGCCTCGCCCTGCCACCCTTTCCAGACATCACTCGGACCTCTGATAGCCCCAGAGAAGCTTCTTTTCCCTCGTGCCTTCCGGGACCCCAACCCGGACTCCCTGCCCCTTCCACTGCGGAGGAACCACTGAGCTGGCCGCCTACCAGGCTGGCTCCCAGTCTTTCCAACTTTGTCTTTAACTAGGACAGGCAACCACCGAGCAGGTGATGTTTTCCTCTTAGTCTGGCATGGGAAGCTCCGTTCAATGACTTTCTGACTGTCAACACTGGCATGTAGTAGATAAAGTGGCAGGGGGGAAAGTCCTGTGTCCTCCACTTTGCTAAACTAAAACCCTGCCTTACTTTCCTGAAAATTATCACTTAAGCTTTTGCTCAGCATGTATCAGTGTTAGTTAAGGGCTTCCCTTCCTTAAGGGGATCTTCTCTGGAACCTTGGTCCCTCATCCCTCTTCCCCATCTTCAGATAACAGCCTGATTTTTGCTCCCCTTTTTCCTCTTTATGAACTGTCCTGCTTAATTTCCCAACCAAGTAATCCATGCCATACCTCTCTGTTCTCTCAGGACTCCAAAATATTACTATTGTGTTTACAATAATTACCGGCTTTCTGATCCCTGCAAACTTGTTTTTATTTATTTCAAGTATTTTAATGCTCCCTTTTCCCGTAACAGCCCAGAGTGGCTTAGAGTTGTCTCTGCTTCATCTTGGTCTCCTCCAGTTTATTGAACTGCAGCTGCAGCTCCCATCATCCCCAGCCAATATGATATTTGATGACTGAAGAACATAATGATTGAAGACAATAGTTCTAGTCCAGTGTGTTTGGAAGGCAGCAACTTGGAGACAATTGTGGGGAATCTTGACAGTTCCAACTAAGAATCAACCTTTTAAAATACAAGATGGCTTTCAGTGATAGTTGTTCTATATCAGATATCTCCTTTCTTCTTTTCCAGGTTTCTTCCCTTTTCCTTCAGCATTTTTATCAGTAGGAAAAATTTGCCCCAAAGGAATATTTTTTTCTTCAAATCTAAATCATTACTCTCTCTGTAGAAAAGTAATATTTCTGTTTCTTTAAAGTTCCAGTTTCTTCTCTGCTATGTTAGAAGACTTCTCAACTGTAGGAGAATAACTCTTCTGTACCACCCGGTCAAGAATACAACGAGCAATCTACTGCTTTCCCCAAAATTAATTCTCTCCAGCTGAACATTGTACCCACTGTTCTCTTGCCTGTTCTGGTGTCATCCCCCTGTTATACAAGATTGTCTCTTAATGCAGCATGCTTTTAAGTCTGAATATTTTAGTTGAAGAATATTGGCTATCTCAAGTTACTGGAGAATCCTCCATTCCATTCTGTAAAAGAATCTAAAATCAGAGTTTTGGATTGCCTTTTCATTGCACAACTAATGTAGTGAGTTTGGTTCAAGAACTGCCTCTCATTCATGTCACAAGGATATGAATATTTTTTCTTGGAGAAATACCCAGAGCTTATTCATTACTGCTTTTTCAGATGCCAAGTCCAGACAAACATTTTCGTTTCCTGTGCTCCAAGTGAAACTGATCAATAAAAAAAATCGCTTCACTCAATTTTTTGTCTCTTCTTTCTTGGTTATTGCTTCCAGAATACTTTGCTGTCACACTTTATCTTACAAAATATGATCCAGAGGAATGCTCAATAGAATAAGTACAATTCTGTACCTTTTAATATACAAGTAAGCTTCACTGTAGTAGTTTAAGACTGCAATCCAGTGCAAGTTTTTTTTTTAAAAAAACCTGTAGCACAATTTGATCAGGAGTTTTCTAAGCAATTAACTGGCCCATTTCCTAAACTTGGCACTCCATGCACAGTTTGCTGCTTTAATTCTAGATTATTTTTAGCTATTTCAGTATATCTATACCAATGTCATAAATTGTAAAGATGATGAACTGAGTTAAGACAGTTCCTGGTTTTATAATTATAATTTTAACTGTATATTGGATTTTATATTTAATATGGTATTAGATTGTTTTTATGAAATTGAAATGGCCAGAAGGCTAATCAATAAAGATTGACTGACTGACTGACAGTATATCTATAAGCGATACATATTAATGTACAATAATATTAGAGCAGGAACTAGCATTTTTTAAAAACAGAATCAAACATAGAAAAATGGTACAGAATTTTCTTACAAATGCTAGGATTTTCATCCCTTTCTTTCTCCTCTTGCCAAGTTCTGATTGAGATATTCAGAGCTGAGTTTGTTGGCACAAGGGAGACCAGCAACTGGGACCAATTCTCTGAGAAAATATCCCTGTCTTGTCCAGCTTCAGCCTTTAACTGTCTTTCAGGTTAGAAGATCTACAATTGTGTGCAAAAAATTCACCACTACTATTTTCAAGGACTGTCTCTCTCCACTGTATATTGTATTCTGACCATTCCTGAGTATGTTCAGGATAATTGTGTAGTAAAGCTTATCCAATTTAGCATTCTTCAGGTATATTCTCTACATTCTAAACTGCATTCCCATCAATCAGACAGAAAGTTCTGTGATATTTTTCCTTACATGGTGAGAATCAAATTGTTTCTACAGGTAGTCCTCATTTAGTGACTGCAGTTGGGACCAGCAACTTGGTTGTTAAGCTGTAATGGCAAACACATGACTGAGAGACACAGATGCTGCAAAAGTCATAAATGTGGGCATTGGTCACAAAGTTACTTTTTCAGCACTGTTGTAACTGCAAATGGTCACTGTCCGAGGCAGTGGCTAAGCAAGGACTACCTATATTAATTTGAATCTTAAGATCATGAGACCCCCTGCTAAATTTCCTCATCCATTGATCTGTTTGCTTGGCAGGGCTCTAAGACTCATTGGAAAAGATGTAATTAATATCAATAATAATGCTGCTATTTTTAAGTGTGAGAGAACTACATAATGAAAGTTTTAAAAGCCTTATTTATTTTTCTTTTTTTGGTGCCTTCAAGTCAGTCTTGACTCCTGGCAATTGCCTGGAGATGTCCACGCGGTTTTCTTGGCAGGATTTTCTGAAGTGGTTTGCTATTGCCTTCTTCTAAAAGAGAGTGACTGGCCCAAAGTCACCCAGCCAGCTTTGCCTAAGGCAGGACTGGAACTCCCAGTCTCCTGGTTTCTAGCCTGGTGTTTTTAATCATTACACCAAACTGGATCTTTTTAGAAGCTTTGCTTCCTAATTAAACTTTCTCTAACTGGATTCAAATACATGCTCACATAAATCAGAATGAATAGAAGAATGCCAAGGGCTTTTATTTCTACAATTGATGATAGTGTTCTAAGATTGCTGGGATTTGAATCTGGCCCATTTACCTGCAAATTCAGTTGTCGGATCCAATAGTATGGCATTTTTTGGCCTGTATGTCCAGGGAAACTTTTGTTTCTTATATCTTAGCCTTAAATTGAAGCAATTATATTGTCATTTATATGCTATTCTTAGGGCTGAAGGAGACATAATTTTAAATGTGTTTCTGCAGCTAACCTGCTGGTGTTTAAAATAATGCCAATATTATCAGGACAGTTTAAAGGATTGATAAGAAATGAGATCACAGGAGATATGGAGAGAGATATAATTCTTTCTTTCATGCAATAATCCTGAAGGAAATCCCTCCTCTGAAGCTGGTGTTTGTATTTAGAAGAATACAACCACTGGCATCTTGGGGGGGGGGGGATTTCTACTGCAACAAATCGAGCTTTAGCATCTGCAACTAGAGGAGGAAAGGGTTAACCTCTACCTGTTCTACTGTATTTTTTTCTTTCAGTTTGTCCAATGCCTTTAACAACTGCATGTTTAAAGAAGAGTCTGACTGGAAAGAAATTTGAGGAGGGATATTTAAACTTTGGGTGCTGGGTTTTGTTCAACTTCTTTTGTTATGGATTATCTACTTTTTAGTGTTATAAAAATAATGTGTCCTTTTCTGATACGTGTTAGAAAATTGGGTTAGACTCATTTCCTCCTCAAGAATGCTAGTGCTGTTTAGTGGTTAAGATGCTGGACCAAGATTGGGGAAACCCAGCTTTTAGCCCTTGCTGAAGCACGGAAGCCAGCTGGGTGACCTTGGGCCAGTCCCTCTCTCTCAGCCCAAATCAGCATCAGTTCTGCAACAAGCTGATGGGAGAGTAAACCCCCTTGTCACATCAGGTAATCATAGCGTTGCTACATGAACTGAAGCAAGTGTAGTGCAAATCGAGCAAGCCTTGCAACCAAGTGTGACAAATGCTAGGAACAACAGCAACATTTCCTACTCAGATTCTTGCGACATACACATTTTGCCAAAATAAACTGTAGGGTTCTTCCAAGTCACCTTCTGCATAGTAATCTCATCAATGTACAAAGCAATACTAGCAAAAGACATGTTCCTGTCCCATGGAGCTTATAATCCAATTGTAAGCAAGCTATGCAACTGGTTGGGTGACCCAATCCATAAGTTATCTACTGCAGCAATAAGGCTATCTATGCTATAGACCAATAGCATCATCCAGTCGTTACTATGGCAATTGAAAGCTTATAGAGTATATATTATTGATATTTCACACCAGCAGTGGCTGGATGATGCTATAAATCACTAGTATGAATAATCTTAATGTCTGTACTTTTGGATAAGATATACAAAGGCAGCTTAGTTACAGCTTTTCCCCAACTAGTGTTCTCCAAATATATATATACTGTACAGGACAGCTCCAGGGTTTAAATCCTTGGCTTTTCCCTCCGTCTTTTTGAGGCAACAGACTCTTGGCTGTTCTCTTCCCAGCTTTGAGCACTGGGGACAACTGTTTCATGTTTTTTAACAATTGTGTCTGGGGTAAGAATTGAAGCTTCCTGACTCACTAGTTCCAGCCTTATAGTATGTTGGGCTTCAACTTTCATAATTCTTTTTATGACCCCACATTTGACTTCATAAACGTGTTGCCCTAAAATGGATGGCAGGGTTTTTCTTTCAGCTTATTTTGCCTTGTCGTATCTTTTGGGAGTATTCATTAGGAAATTGTAAGTG